GAGAGAGAGAGAGAGAGAGAGAGAGAGAGAGAGAGAGAGAGAGAGAGAGAGGGTAGAGGGGGTGGAGATAGGGTGAATGGAGGGTAGGAGGGGAGTGAGAGAGATTGGATGAAGAGACGGGATGGACGGACAGGAAGAACAGAAGAAGCGACCCAGAAGAACAACAAAGACTGAAGAGGTTGGCAGAGACATTTGCAAGACTTGGATCTGGGCTAACGGAAAGAGATGAATGAATTTCGTAACCTTCGTAATACTTCACGGAAAGTGTTGGGTTTTTATGTTTTTGTTTTTTGTGTGTGTGTGTTGTTTTTTTGCTTGGTTTTTTTTTTTATAGTTTTTTGGGGTTTTTTGTTTTGTTGTTGTTGTTGTTTTTTGGGGGGGGGTTGTTTTGAGAGTGTTTTACGGCGCTCACAACTGCATAAGGCCATATGAGCGTGCGGGACACACTAAACATTTACAGTTGGTAGGAAATTTTGAATTTTGCCCGGGTGGCGGCCGAAGCCAACACTATCGATTTTGACCACCAATGAACCTTTAACGTGCGCAACTTGTACACGGGACCTCCGACATTTCTCACCCTTGTCCGAGAAGGCTTGGTGTAGGTAGATCGTTCCTACCAGAAGATCAGGAGTGTGGCTGAAAAACAGAAGTAAAAAGGAGCCTTGGAGAAGCAGTATAAAGGCTGCAGAAAGAGCCAGGAGCCCAGAGGTGGGGGCAAAGGAAGTGAGGGAATGGGGGAAGAAAGAGGAGACGAAATCAGACAACAGAACATTGTTAGAGAGCAGGAAAGGAGGTGAAAGGAGACAATTTTAGAGAATAAATTTTTTTTCGATCGCTTCCCGGATTCGAAGCCGGGACCTTTGAATGAGAGGCGAACACCTTAACCTCTAGGCCACGAGAGCCCCCTAATGAAAGTGTTCTCATGTACAGACAGGAGTGAACAGACGGTGTGGAATCAGGTGCTCGTCAATTTTTGTGCATGTGGAGTTATTGGTATCATCTGAAAACTGATTTACTTGCCTTGCTTTCAATGAAATACATATCCATCCATCTTGAATAGAACTCAAGGTATCTGCGATTGAAGGAAGTGAGGTCACCTGGTTTCAGTGGTGAAATTACCGAGAAAATGGCTGCCAAAATTTGGTAACTCCAATAGCTACAGAGTCCTTGAAAACAGAAAAATAAAATATTCTGTGCCTTTAATCAACGTTTTTCAGTAAAATTCACAAAGAAATGTGTTTTTATATGGACATAAAAGAGGTTGATCCCAAAAACAAAAATTCGATGAAAATGTCCAAACTTTCGGAAAATGCCCGTTTCTCCGATTTCTGTATTTTGACGAGTGCCTGATTTCACCACGCTGCCTCACTTTTTTCTAGTTTCTTTTGGTCCCCTTTTCTTTTGGTTGTTACGGCGAATCACCAAGGAAGTAACTCCGAGAAATGGGAAGGGAGATGGGGGGGGGAGGGGGGGGCGGTATCCACTTGAACATCAATTGCGTGTGGCGTGGTAGTCTAGTGGTTAGGCTACGGGACTCGTGATTGTGGCGTTACAGGTTCGGAGGTTCGAGCCCCAGGCACGACGTTGTGTCCTTGGGAAAGGCACTTTACACGAATTTTCCTCACTTCATCCAGATGGGAATGGGTACCCGGCCATAGACAGCGAATGACCTTTTCAATATGTCGTTAGTGTTTTAGCGGTCATAAAAATATGTCAGCTTGCACTGTATGCTTCCGAGGAAGTTGCTATTGTTTCAGAACACTTTCAGGTCAGAAAGACAGAGAATAAAATAGTTTGGCCACCTGTAACGTATGTCACCTGGCCAACCAGCCTCAAGAGCCTATAACACCAAGCACGCGGGCTATGAAGGAAGAGGAAGGCCACGCAAAAGGTGGATCGAGGGTGTCAAGGAAACCCTGAGAACTGAAAGAGCTGAGGAGCTGGCCTACCATAAAATACTGCATCTCCCCTCGACGCTCAACGGCAACAGAGAATGAAAAAGCAAAAGTAAAGTATCTGGTCTACTGAGGAAATAATATTTGATTGTAAGGTGTACAGAGCTTGCTGTTGAGCGAGAA